ATAAATATATATATATATATATATATATATATATATAAATTATAATAATAAGTTCAATATATATTACCGGAAGTTTGGCCGTACGAATATGATGTCGCGAACGCGTGATAGCTTGGCAGAAGGTTGCATCACTCCGGGCGAACCGCCACTAAGGGTTTCGGCGCCGATCATTACGACCACGGGTAATGGAAAATCGTATCCAACCATTGGTGTAAATACATCAAGATAGAGGCAATCCTCGACGCCGTCGATGAGATTGTGCATATCACGCTGCCAGCAGCTCTTGGACGAGTTGTGCGCCAAGTAAGTGCCGTTCCAGCAGTGCTCGATGCGGCTCAAAGATTCAGCTGGTTGCCAGCGACGATTGCCCACCGGTGGCATTGCGTATGGAATACCACGGAACGCGTAGGCGCCATCCTCCGAGATACCCTGTACCAGTCCGCACGACGTCACTGCTTCGATGTACTTGTCGTTCTTCAAAGGTTTGGTAGAAATTCTCCTAGGTCCGACGCAGACGATACATATAATAACGATGATGCTGATCAGCATCAGCAGAGTCGCCACTATATCAATCGATTTAAATATATCAATTTTACATATAACAATTAATACGAATAAATATAGATTAAATACTGCGAGATAAATTCTGTATCTTCATACCTGAGACGGACACGTGTGTCCTGTATGTAGATAGATAGATCACCAGGGGATGCTTTGGTCGCTTAATGCTGTCAGTTTCATCTTCTTCATCAAGTCGCACAGTTTCCATGCCATCCTCGTCGACGATAGGCCTCTTCTCAGAAGCGCCGTCGTCGAGTGTTTCGACACTCGCTAATCCAGCAGTACCGGTTGGTCCTAACTCGGTATCGATTTCCTAAAAAGGAAATATTACGGCAACTTATTCTCTAAATTCTTTGGGCTGGAATCTCACTCTAAAGGCGGGCTCAATTTTCAATTTGTAAGAGTGAGATTTCAGTGACAATTTCTCTAAAAATTTTAGAGAAAAGAAAAATAGATTAATTTATTATAATATCAATATTATATTTTCCATCTATTTATTTAATCTAAACATACAGGTTGTTCTGTCACAAAATCGACAAGCTTTGCCAACGTGTACGGATGGTCTATATACAGGGAGTCTCTACATACAAAACTGCTACAACAGCTTTAACATATAAAAACAAGTTACGAGATATTAAAGTAAGAAAACATGAATCGTAGTAAATGTTGTTTAATGTTCGTTTTTCGGTTGTTCTTGAATTTTTTTCTGATAGACTAGATCTTTCATTCGTCCCCAAAATGTAAACAAATACATGTTTTTCCATGATCACTATCATCATTGAATTGGAAAAGATCAGGGCACGCTCCTAGTAAATGGCCAGCAAGAAGTCCCGATCTCATGTTCATCCATTTATCTGCTTCTTATTCTACGCGTCTTTCTACTCCCACCACTCAGCAGTCCATTTTATATGTCGATGGTTTTAATCGATAGGCTATGAATGTAGTATCGTAGGCAATGTGTATTCATAGAATCCAATATTCCTTATTCTGAACAAATAAGGGTGATATAAGCGATATAACGTAGCCGTTCGAATTGTGGAGGCCATTGAACTCTGTCTGCAAGAATAGGCAGTGCGACGGATTGTTCTATCGCCTGACATAGGTACTCACTGGACATGATTGTTTCGATATACCAGAATAGAAAAGGAATGTCGCTGGACATATAGGAAAATGCAGTATCACCATTGTGCGTCTTGAATTTCGCATAGTATTTTAGAGATATGCTAAGCATATAATACAGACTATAAAATCTTGGTCGTAGTGGGACCAAGGTGGGTAAAGGAGAACCTTTTAACAATATGTATGCCGGTGGGAGGGTTTCGATACCACATATTAATTGGCCAATTTAAGATGTTGCTGGAGTGACAGTCGAACTTGATCGATATCGATAATACAGATTTTTCTAATTGCAAATTAAAAAAGTCGATAATAGTGACATGTGTTTAATTCACTTCTTACATTATCGTTCTGTCTCACTCAAACGCATATACATCTGTCCTTATCTAACATATTGCAACGCCATCTCTTGCAAGATCGAACGTCTACTGCTAGACACAATGCGCAAGAAAAACGTATACAATCGTTTTTTAACGTTTTCCAAACGCTGCTATAGTATTTGGGATTTTTCATTGGAAAATTTTAGAAAATATCTCTATGCATAAAAGATACTTACTTTTTTTCTCCTGGAGAAAACGGACGACATCAAAGGTAACCGAATGGAATTCAAAATTCCCCTTCGTCCTTCCTTTTCCTTAGAATCCTTAACGGGTGTAATAGGCTTTTCCGTGGACAAAGCGTTCTGCTCGCTTTCCTTTATCACTACGGAAGCTGATTCCGCATCCATAGACTCCGTCGGTTTAGCCACATCATTCTAAAATTGATCAAACATACCGAAGTAATTAATACACGCCAATAAATAGGAGAAATTAATTTTTTTATGTCTGCTTCTTTTACGATGATGACATTGGATTTCTTTTTTCGAACCTTAATTTTTTCTTTCAACAAAGTATTGTTTAAAGAAAAAGAGCAGTGTGGAAGATAATAATTAAAAGAAAACAAATCATTGCTTCGAAAATAATTTTATTCTAATCTGAAAAATAGTGAGATAAACTCTCTTTCTCTCTACACTCTGCACTTAAAAATAAAGTGGAATAAATTTTTAAAAAAGTAAAAAAGGCGCTAACAATTCGTGTTCCTCGAAAAAAAATGTATTGTACTAAACGATAAAACTCAAGTGGTACTGTTTTTATAGTGTACATATCAATTTACTGCTAAGAGATACGAAACGCAACACCAGTAATTTTCAATGGTGACAATTTTACTTCCTTTACTGACAGTAACCGAATTTATTTTCGAACGTACTACACATTGCATACACATATGTATTGTATTTTTTTTAAATTGTATTATAATATGATTTTTAATATAAATCACACATACTAATTATTTTGCATAGAAAATAATTAAGCTAAACTATAAAAGATCTCCAGAGATAAAAACTATTTTAATTTTTGATGACCTCTTTTTGAGGTATGCGTTGATTTTCCTTTAATTCCGAAAAAAAATCTCCGGCGGAAAAGCCAGATCTGATGATCTTTTTTTAAAGGGATTACAACAAAAGATGATAATAGTAATCGGCCATTTTTTCTCACAAACATACAAACGTTTAAAAAAAAATATATTAATTTTGCATTTATGAAAATTATGTCGAATAAACATATCGTCGAACTATTGGATGTGTCGGTGTTTATGAGGTCTTTGTAATGCGTGGGAGCGGATGGGAGAGATTTAGATGATAAGAATATGTGTTGAATTGTGTTGAACCGTGATGGAATATTTCGAAGGGTAGGTATTAAAAGTGAGGTGAGGGGTAGAGGATGGAAGAAAGAGATATGAGTGGGTGAGTAAGAGTGTTGTAGGTCACATCGATATACATAAGTGTCGGCATGTATCGAAATCTTTGTAGTGAGTGGGAAGTGAGATGGAGGATTCGGATGAATAGCACGGGTGGAGATGAGTTAGGTGTGGAATTGTGAAGGATGCTTTGAAATATATTCAAGTAATAATTCTCGATTTCGCAGAGCATCGAACACGACGAGGACGACGACTTCTTAATAAAATTTTACCCTATTATGACATAAAAATTGAAATGTCTCTCTTAATATTCATCATAGAAAAAGAATAAAGACATTTCATAATGGAATTCCAAGTTATTGATTGTACCTATTAAAAATTTTTGTTTAGCCGTTTTTTAGATATGACCATAGTGTTTCCGATTACCGTCAACTCGATGGTTCAAGTAAAGGTACACTGTAGTGTCTTCTGCGCCCAGTATGGGCGCGAATATTTGACGCGAGACACTACCGTGTCTTTTGATTCAATATAATTTGATATGATTTCTACGCTATAAGTTTTTGGTAAATTTGACTTATATATAAATTTAATTTGACTATATTATAATTTATTTTTTGAACTCATTTATTTTAGTGATATATTCTAACATATATATGCAATTTGTATATTCGGTAAAATATAATACAATATGGCGTGTGTTATTTCAGGGTAGTTTTGGTGTTATCTATTCATTATCATAACCTTTGTTTTAAATGTATTGAATTCTAGCCCGAAATGTTGGCTTTCATTTTCCACTCTACGGGCGAGTTCGAAGAGTTCCTCTTGGCTGTTCGCGAGTAGTGTCGTATCATCTGCAAACCGTAAGTTATTTATTTTTTAGCCATTGACTGAAATACCATCTTCCCATCCAAGCGCTCTTCTCATAATATACTTTCCATAAATGTTAAATAATTGTAGAAATAATATGCATCCCTGTCTTACATCTTGTTCTGGATATGGAATTCTCTTGATATAGTATATATCAAGTACTCTTATTGATTCTGTTGTATGGTGATATAGCTCCATTAAGATTTGTAATTTGTTCTGGTACTTCCATTTCTTCCAACATTCGCCAGAGTCAGTGCCATCTTACTCTGTCAAAGGTTTTCCGGTAGCCTATAAAGCATAGTGGGATGTTGTATTCTCTTGCCTTTTCGATGAGCTGCCTCATGTTTAAGAGATGTTCTGTAGTTCCTCTGCCTTAGACAAATCCTGCTTGTTCTGCCGATATTTCTTTTTGGATAGTAGGTTGGATAGATGGTAGACTCTTTCGTTGATAATGTGTAGCATTCCTTTGGCATGCGAGATGAGGGGGAGATGGTAATCTGTAATTGTCACATTTACGTTGGCTTTCCTTCTTGTGAATGGCGATAATGAAATAGATTGCGTCCAACCTTTAAGCCATTGTCTGGTGTCACATTCTATTGCAGAGAATGTATAGAAGGTTCACTCCAATCTCTTTTGTAGCTTTAAGTAATTCCGCCGTTATTGAGTCCTCCCCTGGTGCTTTGTTGAGTTTTAGTTTCCTAATCGCCGATTCTACTTCACATTTCAAAATTTCGGCTCCTCTGCCGCCTCATTGTTACGAGCCCCATTGATTACTCTGTATCTATTGTGTATTTTCATCTTTGTACAGATCCTGGCAATATTCTATCCACGTTTCCGCGATTTCTTCTTTGTTTGTTCTTGGCTTTCCCGATCAATCATCCACGTTTTCGCTCTAAAATCTCTTGTTATAAATCTCATTTTCCTGAACATATCCCTTGGTTGTTTATTTTGATCATGGATCTCTCTACCTCTTCACATATCTGCGTGTAATATCGTTGTTTATTTGCTCAGCATCTACTTCTTATTTCCTTGTTTAATAAATGTAAACAAATGTAATCTCCCCTTCGGGAGGAAGGAGGTTTACATTTCCTCATTACACCATTAGATTTACATTAAGTATAATTTTCACAAATTTGAACAGATTGAATGATACTGTGATTAGTATATAGATAAAGCTTGCAATAACTGCATTTATTAAATGAAATATCTTTATATGTATGTTTTTCAAAATTTAAACAAAATCATGAAAATGTTTAAATATGAAATATGTTTGTCGAAAGATACACCAGAAGTTTACGAGTTATCGCCGTGTTTTCATCTATTGTTAGGAATTTTCTGGTATCTTTGAAGATAATACTCATGAAAACCTAAAAAACGTTATTTATGTTTGTGGAAAGTGTAACCGATTTTCTTTTATATAACCAGCTTTATATCATGAATAATACCATGCGTAAAACAATTGTTCAGCAATACGTTTCTTTGACATAATTTTTACAAATGCAAAATTAATTCATTTTTTTAAATATTTGATACACACACATTCATAAGAAAGAACTGCCCAAAAAAAATTTTTTTTAAATATAAGAAATGTGTACAAATATGTATTTAAAAGAAAATAAAAAAGATTCACAAAATATTAAAGAAATAAAAAAAAGAGGCAAGCCAGATTTAGTTTTTCTATTGCGTAATAAGGATTTATTGTAGTTAGTGATTCTTTGATTTTTTAATTAGAATAACATGACGTTAATCAGCTTCCAGCTGTATTTCTGTTAAAAGAGTTCTTTTTTTAACAATTATTATCTGTTATTTTGGTTCCGTACATATATCGAGCTTCAAAAAATCGGATGTAGATTCATTTGCGTGTGTAAGAAATACTGTTTTAAACATGTGTAAAATTGAGTATTTGTAAAAAATAAAATCTTGTTTTAATAGAACAGACTCAGTTTGAGCTAAAATTAATAGTAAATTTCTTTATATTTTTTTTGTCGTAAGAAACAAGTGTAAAAATTTGGAAAAAAAAATCGGTGTCTGAATTTCCATAAGGTTTACTCAAGCAGAAGGACCAACAATCTCCGGAGTACTATTTAAAGATGGCAATCATGATAATAATGTACCTTGCATGGTTCCTTGCTCTTCGTACGGCAAAATCCGGGCATCTTGATGCCACCGATCGGTATCTTCTTCGGTTTCTGCTCCTCGGATTCGACATCGGGCGCAGGTGCGATGCTGGCATGCTTAGTGTTTTCGGCGTTCAGCATCTTCTCTCTCTCTTCCTCGGCGATTTCTTTCTTGTCCATGCTTTCTTCCTGATATGTCTGGCTCATTCTCTATTTCTGAAATCGAATGAAGAACGCCTGCATTTAATTAAGTGTCGGGCGTAAATCTTATCGCGAATGTAACGCAGTTCATCGATATCTCCAAAGAATACAAATATTTTTTATGTAACAGATGTTGCTAACATAGAAAATTGTTTTTACACCGCAACAATTTTCTTGAAAGCATTTTTTTACATTTCATGCGGTAAAGTGTGTTCGAGAGATACTCCAGTCTCTATGATGCGATAAAAAATATTACGATTTGCGTGGTTCGTTTTTTGCACCCTGCGACACTGCTACAGAAGCTGTAGAACTGCAGATTATCGTTTATTTTAAGTTGGTCGATCTTCATACTACGGCCGGTGTTCATAGTCGATTCCTATATCTAAGACTGTCTTAAGTACAGTCTTAAAATGTCATGAATCAATCAGAGAGATTATTATATACATTAGCATAAGATATTATTTAAGACGGTCTTCAAATAAGAATGGATAATAATACCGATCGCACTAAAAAAAAAAATGCAAATAATTTCATATAAAAAAAACCCCAATAAAATGCCAAAATACCCAACGGGTTTAAAAAAAAACTCGGGTTTTTTCCAACCCTGATTTCCCACTTGTTTCGGAATATGCGAACGAAAATCTATCGAATAGTGTTATCTGAATTTTGTTTCTTTAGAATTCAAGCTGAAAACGTACTTTTTGCCTTCAACATTTATTTGTTAATAGCTTTTAAACTAAAGGTGCGTAAACGAAAAATCGATTTGTTTTTAAAAATAATTTAATTTGTTAATAATCTTTTAAAAAAGTAATGCAAAAAGTATGCAAACGAAAATCTATCGATTCAGATTAGATAAATCTAATTTGCTAGGATTGGTGTTGGACTAAAAAATAAAAATGGAGTAATGTATGTGTAATATTATCTTTCAAATTAACTGCGACATTCCGTGCTGATTTGATACACGCGAAAGCGACATTGGCGTCATGTTAATTCGATATGTAATAGAATAATATACTCGATTCCAAAAGTATCGCCTGGCAAACGCGTTACGTTACAAATCGTCTTCGACGATTGCCGGCGAGGCGTAGAAATAAAAAAATGCCGGCGATGTACAATACAAGATGTGTGCTGCGAGAAAGTACGCGCGAACTGACTATACAGAGTAACTGGCCGCGAGATCAGATCATTCTTTTCATAA